TTGGAGAAAAATAAAAAAGTGGAACGTAAGTTTCATGGATATGAGTATGGATACATGTGTGGTAACTGGTACGGAACACAACAAATTTGTAAAAGTTAGGGTACAAGGACAAGGACGAAATATATGTGTTGTAATCATGGTCCTGAGCTAGATTTGCAAATGATCCTTCTTGTGCTACTTAACCAAATATGGGCTGAAACGAACTCGAGCCTTGTCCAACAAGTTTAGAATAGATATGAAGTGTAGGGCATATGTTCAAGAAGTATATTATTTGTGTTTCAAACTAAAACATGTATTGTAAAATTCAATATGCATTCAAATAAATGTATACATATATTTAAGAAGTGTCCAAGAAGTATGGAGTACAAGTCAGGATGTGTCGGGTATGGGTACGAGGTATAGGATGTGCATGACAATGTAGATGGAATAGGAGGCCTATCTACATGTAAGCCAATTCAACAACAAAATGTTCTTCTCATTCCAAATAATCCGACCACGATTTAACCATTCAACACACGACTAAGTATCCTATTAAAATCTATCGCACAAAATCCAGTGACAATAATTGTAGGAAATATTTTATTCTATAATATTGATTAAGAGTATAGATCCAACTCCAATAATCATACTTGATGAAACAGCATCCTCATTATGTGAGCATTTCCTCAAATATCTTGTGCTCGCCAGTCGGGTGGATGTCGTTGTTCGTGCTACACATCAAAGCTGTCTTCGAGGTGTGTGCTTTGATGCATTTCACTTACTAGCACAAATCTTAAAGAAAAATCAAAGAATAAAAAAGGTTTAAAAGCTCTTATCTCAACTTAAGTTTATCTAGCTTTACTATGCATACACGTACACACAAAAGTATACACATACGGACATACACACACCCATAAACTCAAAGTTTGCATACATTTCATCTTACCATGTAGAATTTTTTTTCCTCACACACATTACACGTCTCCAGAGTAAGTGTAGTAGTATTCACACCTTGAAATAGATTAGTGTTGATTGTCCATCCAATCCTTTGGAGCTATAACGTGTGAAAAACTCCTTTATTGTGATCTCGCGATATATAGGAGGATATTCAGCGGATAACAGCTCTTCTATGGGGCCATACATCTTTGAAGAGGGAGATAAACGCGTACTAAAGAACGATGCCACTGAAATTCTCGGGCCAATCTTGCTAGAAAGTACTCTATGTTCAACACTTTTAAACTTGTCATTAGAAATCAGCTGCAAGTTGACCAAGAACGGAAACAGAATTAAGATGAAGTTGATCAATTTGGGACGAACATTATCAATAAGGATGACATGGGACAGCAGATCGATGATGTACTTTCACTACGGATTTGAACTTTTGTTTTGGTTATTTCGACATAGTTTTTTGACTACCTTTTCTTTTCTGAATATTGTTATTTTGTTTCATATGTATTGATGCAGATAATTTGATTTCATTTTGTAGTTTATTCGTATCCGTACTTCTCATAGACTGGGAGACATTCTTTTAAAAAATCTGAATCATTTCATGAAAACACAAGTTCAGTGCGCTATTGATACGATGAACAATAAGTACCTGTAATAGATCGCCAATGTTGATAACCAGAGCTCCGGGTATGGGAGATACATCAACCCACTGGTCCTGATGGAAAACCTGCAGACCACCGATGTGGTCCTGTAGAAGAACAGTTAGGAAGCCAGAATCAGAATGCTTGCTGGATCCCAGAGTTAGATTTGGTTCTGGACACGGCGGATAATAATGAATTACATGATAAACACCTCTGGCACACTCCATTTCTTTCAAATGGTCTGGTTTTAGCCCCAGTGCCTCGGATAGTAGCTCAAACAAAACGTTTCCCAGCTTTTGGATATGTTGCGTGTATTCAATAATATTCCCTACAGGTTTGAGGCAAGATGTGTAGGAGACAATCGTGAATATAACTTCGCGTTGATGTGAGAAATGAAATTGATCAGCAAGTCATAATATATGTAATAGTTATAACTTTGATAAAAAATACTTTTTTCATAAAAATGATTTAGATTATCGATTTTGTGGCAACTAAATAAAAGTAACGTTGTCTTAGTATAAAGCTCACTAGGAAATTTACAAGTGAAACAAATACCTAATACATGTTTTCTTGTTATCTTTGTGCTCCTTTTTTCTTTTTCTTTTTTCTCCCCCATTGTAAGCATGCTAGCCATGGATGGCCTTGTTTGATAATAATCGAGGTTAAACGAATGTGACCTAATGCGTCCAAATTTATTGTAATGTATATACATCTGGATGTTTTTCTGTTTGATATAATCGACTTTAAACTGCACTCAAATTCATATGAAAGTCTAAATTAATGCAGGTGTGAAGATGAAGTTCACTGCAAGCAAGCGGCAGTTCGTCCGGCGGAAGGGCTCTCCGGCGCCATAAGACAAGTCAGGGTATCCCTCAGTTCGCCGAGGGCGCCTGAATAAAGATCAAAATTACTATTGAAAGACACTTCTTACTCGTGCATCCCTCGTATAATACATCCTCTTCACTTCATCATCGTCCTCGTTAAACTCTCCTTCTCCTTCAATTATCCCCTCCATGACTTCTTGGGGCACTCCATGGTTGAGCCACTTGGAAGAAGCCGAACGCTCTCGATGCTCGCCTCACCTCGTCGATGACTTGGATTCTTTGATCAGATTGTAATCGATTATGGGGATCGAGATCTGTGGGTTCGGATTGATGGTTTTGTCCGTGAACAGTGAGTCGTGGAAGAAGCGAGATGGTTGTGCGCCTGCATCGACGAGGCCTTTGACGCCTGCTTTCGTCTCGTCGAAGGCTTTTGAGCTCAGATAAGGGCGATCGTAGGAGGACATACTTGTTGGTTTCAGTGAGCGGTTTGGTTGGGGGGGGGGGGTGTGGAGGATGAAGAACGGGGGAGTTGGGTGTCAGGTTACAGAGTAGAGGAGGAGAAGGTAGAAGTTTGGATGAAGCAGAGTTTGTGGTGAATTGACTTTGTCGGACTAGAATGTAAAGGAATATAGAAGATAAGTGAATTATTGGGATGCAAAGCAGGCGAGGAAACCTGCGGATATATCCATATATTGCTTAGGTTGGGTGTGGGCCGGGTGAACTCGGGGGCTGACCTGTCCCAACCCACCACTGGTCATGTCCCTCTTTGGCTCGGAGCAGGCCGAGTCCGATCAGACCCATGATATACGCGGGTCACGAACCGGGCTCGGTCTAGCCCCAGAGTCAGGGTCAAAAAAGTAGTCCAGGTTTACGCTGGCCCGAGCCATACCCGACCTGGTCCGACCCCGACGAATGATATATGTTTTGGGTAGTTTAGTTGTTTCTATAGGTTTATGAACTCTTAGACCTCGGGTGTTTCAGTAAAGTAATTTCTATTGGTGCTCTCCAAGAAAGTCGAGTTTAAAACCTTAGGCTCCGTTTGGCAAATGGTTAATGAAGAGGGATTAAGGAGAAGGATTAACATAGTTAGCTCATTCGATAATCCGAAGGACTAAATTATTAACCCGTTATATAAGTTTTATTTTAGTCCTTGTGATCAGTTTTAGTGGGAATAACAATGATTTTGACTATTTTCTTTATAATTTGAAGGGTTAACTCTTAATCCTTCTAAATAGGAGTATTAGTAAACCCCTCATTTTGAGGGGTTAACTCATTTTAATCCCTCTAAAGGGGTTAGCTTAACCCTTCTATATTTTTTATGTTTGGTAAATTATGGAGGGTTAGCTTAACCCTTCTATATTTTTTATGTTTGGCAAATTATGGAGGGTTAACTCACTTTAACCCTTGTATAGATTTTTTATGTTTGACGGGTTAAGAAGGGGTTAAGTCTCCTTAACCCCTCACTTAACCCTTTACCAAACGGTACCTTAACGTACTACTCATAGACAGTTTATCTACTCAGCTGGACTATCCTATGTTTTTAATTTTTTTTGCTTTTGATTGATCTTGTTTTTGTCTTTTTGTGGATAATTGCCCTTTATTTTTTTCCAAACACTTCAACTATCCCCCCCACCCCCCACGCCAGCCCCCACCCGCCAATTTGGCAATACCATCCATACGGCGGAATGTCTTGCAGTCCGTCTTGTTCATCTTTTTATTGGCGAGCTATCTTCCACCAGTTCCACTCTGTAGAACACGCACAGGCTAACCACGCGCAGCTGAACAAGCAATTGGATACCTTAGTTTCAGTAGTAATCGCTCACACAGAAAAAAGACAGGAAAAATTGCCCGGAGCAACCCATGTCACTTTAGCGGTAAGGCTCTTCTTTGCCAAGGAGAGAGACCGCCGACGACAATAGACCGGGATAGAAAGATCGCTTGCCATCTTTGATTTGACTTTTATTAAGTGACCAATTTAAATCACAGACTCAATTACATACAAAGCAACTGGCGAAGTCCCGAGAACCACGTAATGAGGACAACCAAATCAGAGCAGACGCAAGAAGGGTGGACCACGAGCGAGACCCGGCGACAAATGTCGCACTCACGAGAGCACTAAACAAGAGAGCCACCATACATGAACACCTTTATCATAAGTGTTGTTTTGTCTAGCTGGGCCAACAATGATTATGCACTCTATCCAAATTCTAAGCACTCGCTCTATAACTCGCGACCTGATTGACACTCATTCTATCTAATTTATACGCAAAGGCACTCACAACCATCCTATTAACCAAATTCAGTCGTGGTCCTCCACCCAAAGGATGGGCAAGAGCCGGACACCGAGTTTAGTGTGGGGCAATTAATCAATAAATACCAATACGACTGCTTAGATCATTAAGATAAAGTTGTTGCTTACTTAATCACATTTCAATACCAAAGAAATGACATTTCCCAATATTCGAGATGGTTACTGTGATTTTTTCTAATTGAGATCTTATACAACAATCAACTCTCCCGCCCTGCACCACAACCCATCATGGAAGCGTGCCTAAGCGCATACGGTTGTTACCCTTGCCATTTTACATTCAAGTGGTCCATGGCCTCTTTTGGTCATCTCATATTTTTCCTTTTTTATCTTCTTCTTCAAAACCCAATGATGCATTCGATGGTAATGGAAACATGAGAGGCGCCTCTCCATTAGACGAGCGGTACATTGATCATAAGAGCCCGTGAGTGCTCCTATTCGTTCACTACATACTAGTTGATGTTCAATCAAATTATGGCGCACAGTTTTATCTCTCTAAACTCTTAAAAAGTAAACGCCTACTAACTCACAAATCACAAATCGTGTAAATCAGTTAGAATTCAATAAACTGTGCCAAGCACATCAAGAGGCGACGATAATTATCTGACGCTAGATCTGTAACTCATGACCAATGTCATATACTACTGAGCGCGCGATATTATTGCGAAAAGAAACGCTTTCAGTGGGGGCGCGCCATTTCGCCTACATGTGGCTGCCGCCTTCTTGTCCTCTTCACTATCTTCTTAAAGCGAACAACATCTGCATCCTTATCCGGCAAGTAGAATCAAGATTAACTTACTCCAGGTTGCCAAAACTCAAAACTACCAACATCGCAAAATACACACAGGTTGTTTCGCCCATTCAACCTCCCGACAATGCGTATTTCGATAGAATTCTGGGATTCGTTTGTTCCAGAGCCTCCCCAACTGACTTGAGACTATCCTTGAACATGGAAAAGTGGTTATCAACTGAAAATAAGATCAAATCGTGATTTCTTATCCGAAAATGAGGCACCCAAAGCCTATAAATACAACCCTAGGGTCCCTATGCACGGGAGCTAGAATTTTGGAGCCTTGAGGCGAAGTGCTGACCCTGAGAGAGCTAAGCCACGAATTTCAGAGAAGAAGAAGAGAGATTTTGGTGAACTTCATCATAAAGGAGAGGATTTCGAGAAATCAATAACCCCTACACCAGTTCCATAAGATTAAACTTCATTTTGATCTTGAGAAGAGAGTTTATCTCAATCCTTGAGATATTTACTTAAAATTTTGTTTCTTTCAAGAAACAAGATCAACCGGATTTGATCCTTAGTAGTCCATGGATAAAAGCATCTCTGGCAAAGGCAAAGATGCCACACAAGCAGCGACTGATAAATGATCTTGCGTGTGTTTCTAGCCTGTTTGTTTTCATTGTGTAAGAAAGTCTTATAAAAAGACTAACTTTCTTTTTTTGAATCTGTAAGATGATAAACGTGTAATGAATTCAGCAATGAAAAATATTTCCGACGAAAACACACTAGCGACCATAGTGAGAGCCGACGGTCTCGCTACCGAGACCAGAGTGTCACAACCAAGAATCAAGATCCTGGTTGAAGCATGGGTCAAGCATGAGTTCGATCAACAGAAATTCGAGGAGTACGTCTCATCCTCCTCCTCCAGATCCTCCTCCCCTCGTAAGTGTAGGAAGATTTCTTCGCAGAAGAAGGTTCGTTGGTCCCCAGATGTGAAGACCCAGGGTGATGATTCTTACCCGCTCATTGTTGATTCCTCTCGTAACGCTCCTCCGGCATCCAAGGAAGCCAGATTGACTGCTCACGATAACTCCTCTTTAGTTAAGGAGTTGCCCACTGAAGGCGCACTAATTCTGACAAAGAGAGCTCATCAGAGGCAGCGCCAACGCCTCGCTCGTCAATTCGCCAAAGCTCTGGAGCAGGTTGACGGACTCCGCTATCAAGCGGATTTGGAATTTAGGAGGCGCCAAGTGATTAAGCCGCAGCCACAATTAGCAGCTGATCCCTCCTCCAAACCATCAAACAACAAGTGGGTTCGTGTCAAATGAACCTATTCAACTCTCGAGGAGCACATCTAGAAGCGTCGCGCACTTCTCGCGCATGCACTGATTATCGTGCAGAAGGCACAAGAGCTGCAGAAGGAAGAGGCGACCAAATAACCACTGAAATCCAAACAAGTCTGGGTGCCGAAGGCCAGAACAGCACCAAAAGC